CTATCTCTCATCGATGTTTCTAACTCTTTATCCCTCTCCCTTGCTCTCTGTAAAAAAAATCAATAAAATATTTTTTTTAAAAAAAAAGAAATGGGCAAAAGCATCAATAGATGAGTGGATTTAAAAAGCTGTGGTATAATTTACCACAGTGGAATACTATGCAGCTGTAAAAAAGAAAGATCTCTTACCCTTTGAGACAGCATGGAGGGACCTGGAGAGTATTATGCTAAGTGAAATTAGCCGGTCCAAGAAAGACAAGTATCACATGATCTCACTTATATGTGGAATCTAATGAACAAAATAAACTAATGAATGAACTAGATCCAGAGACATGGAAGCATGGAACAGACTGACAAATCTTAGAGGGAAGGGGGAAGATGAGAGCAGGAAGAGATTAACCAAAGAACTTACATCTGTATATGTATAACCCATGAACACAGATAATAGTGTAGTGAGGACCTGGGGGCAGGAGCCAAGAGGAGAGGGTCAATGAGGAGCGGGGGGATATCTGTAGTACTTTCAACAATAAAGACAAATGCTTTAAAAAAGAAATGAGCAAAGGACTCTTCTCCAAAGAGGACATACAGATGGCCAATAAATATATGAAAAATGCTAATCTTCAGAGAGATGCATGTTAAAATCACAACAACAAAATACCACCTCACACCTGTCAGAGTGGCTATCATCAATAAATCAACAAACAAGTGTTGGAGTGAATGTGGAGAAAAAGGAACCCTTGTGCACTCTTGGTGGGAATGCAGATTGGTGTAGCCACTGTGGAAAGCAGTATGGCGTTACTTCAAAAAAAAATTGCAAATGGAATTGCCTTGTGACCCAGCAATTCCACTTCTGGGAATATATCTGAAGAAACCCAAAACACTAATTCTAAAGAATATATGCATCTCTGTGTTCATTGCAGCATCATTTACAATAGCCAAGATTTGATAGTAGCCCAGGTGCCCATCAATAGATGAATGGATAAAACAGCTGTGGTACATTTACACAATGGAATGAATATTACCCAGCTATATCTCTACAAAGTGGAAACAGACTCTTGGATACAGAGAACGGACTGACAGCTGTCATAGGGGAGGGAGTTGGGGCTGGTGAGATGGGTAAAGGGATTAAGCAAAGAAAAAAAAAAGATTCATGAACAAGGACAACAGAATGGTGATTGCCAGAAGAAAGCGGGTGGAGGGTGAGAGAAAGTAAAAGAGCATAAAAGGGGGAATGAATGGCGATGGAATGAGACTTGTCTTGGGTGCTAAACACACAGTACAATATGCAGATGACTTACTGTGGAATTGTATACTTGATACCTGTATACTTTTATTGTCACCCCGAAAAATTTAACTTAAAAAGAAAAATATGCTTAACTTCCATAGCCAGGACATGGCCTTTTGCCATTCTAGCATGTTATCTGACTTACCCTTTGACAGTGGTGTTAACCGTTACCCAGAAAGCTACCACAGTACCCTGAGCAGTCATTGCTCAGCTTATCTGAAAACTTCCATTCTACCTATCATCTGACTGCCTCCTCTTTTTCCAGAGAGAATACCTTAGCTGTCTATTTTATATTATGGCCCTGTTAGGATGTAAGACCTCTTTAATTCCAAATAAACAGCATGCAGCTGTAAAGTTAACAAATGGTAAATAGTTCTGATGGAATAAAAAAAATGAGTGCACTGCCTTTAATTCTTTCTTCATCCTGCTATAAATGAAAACAGAGCTAAAATAGTGTAGAGAAGTGCTTCCATTAATTCATCTATCCTTTGTCTTTTAAAAATAAATCTTTGCTCTGCGTGCATTTCCCTGGTTAGCTTAAGAAGTTGTTCAAAAGGCCTTGCTAAAATAAAATCTTAAGTAAGGAAAGGGAAACTTCTCCATGCCTAAAAATAAAGTGCCCCACCCCCTCCCCATGAGATTACTTATTACATCTGTACAAAGTTTAGAATTTCAGACTTTGGGACATTGAGGTCATCCAGAGGTTACTTTTCTCCCAGTCAAATACAAACATAATAAAATTGTTCATTTGCTTCTCCTCCCTGCCCCCTTAAAGGAGCGCCAAAGCCACATGTACTTGTGTGTGACGCAAAATTCTATTTTTAAACTCAGACAGAATATATCATTAGTCATTTACAGAAGGAAACCATTAACTTCTAAAAGGATGGGACAACAGAACTTCTTCACGTTGCCAATTGCTTCTAAAAACTAATTCTAAATACAGCAGCGGCTGGAAATACATGTTTTCTGTCACTTAGAAAGATACGGTTTTTCAGTTCACTTGGACCAGGTTATGAGTATATAAGTATTAGACCCTAAAAAGGAAGAAAAATGCAAAACTGTAGTAACTTATTTTTCTGCTTAATCATATCTGTTTAATCATCTGCTTATTCTTCTGTGTAATCATATTTTGGAATCAGACATTATTTTTAGGACTTTTTTTTTTTGCTTAGAAAAGTTAATGTTACCCCCAGATTGCTTCAGCACTAAGAATTCATGTTAATGTTGTATATATTTTTCATACACAAAAGAGTTTCTCCTTTGCTTTTTTAAGTTTCTCCTTTAAAAAACAGTTGTTCAAAAAAAATTTTAATCTAGAATAGAAACTGTAAACTTTCAACTTATTAACATGTTTTCTTAAGAAAAACTCAGACATCACTGTCATTTTCAAACTTTCTAATGCCAGAAATAATACTTCTTATATGAAATGTTATTTTTAAAAAGAATGTTTTTAACATACATTCTTAATGGAGAATTACTTTTTATATAGAATAATGGATTCTAAGGGTGATGTTTGTGGAAAAACTTAAGCTTTGTCAAAATTCTTAGTTGAATTTTTACTACTGCCAAGATTGAGTATAGACAGAGAAAGAAACTATGTGATATGCATACTAATTTAATTCTTGAACACTTCAATAAAACTAGCTAGTAAAATAAATTTGAAATCACACTATGTGGTTCCAGATTTGCAGATGAGTCATTAATCCTTTTACATTTTAAAAATTTCTCTCTGACTGAATTATATAATAGATGACAAGAGCCATAGTTAATTTACCATTGTAATCTCCTTTGTGTTTTAAATATCAATGGTTCAATAGATATTATGGGAGAAATAAACAAACATTTCTGTTTCCTAATTTTGCAGAGTATATTAATTATCTGGGTGCTTTGTGACTTAATTTTCCCCAAAGGAACTTCCTAAAATGAAAATTCATAAGAATTAGGATAATGGAGGAGTCCCAACTTAAAAAAAAAAAAAAAAGGAAGAAAGAAAAGATAATTGTATAGTGTAACAACAAGGCCTGACAATTTGCTGATGCCTTTTTGCAAACCTGTTAAAGGTCTTCAAATTTTAACTAGAAAAGCTAATTTTTCATCCCTTTAAAATATTTAATATTTCCTGGCTTTCTCAATTTTAAGTTCTTATTTCATATGTACTTTTAACAAATATATTTTTTATTGATTTTTCAGAAAGAGGAAGGGAGACGGAGAGAGAGATGGAATCATTGATCAGCTGCCTCCTGTACACCCCCTACTGGGGATGAAGCCCTCAACCTGGGCATGTATCATGACCAGGAATCAAACTGTGACCTCCTGGTTCATAGTTCAATGCTCAACCACTGAACCACACTGGCTGGACTCAGTTCATTTCTTTTAAATGCTTAAAGTTTAGTTAAAATTTTCTTTTCTTGAAAAACCTCTTCTAAATACTGAGAGATTATTACTTCATTTGCATAACTGATTAATAATGCTGGAGTAATCTCTTGTTTGTACATTATTACAATACCAACTATGAAAATTTTGTAAGCTTAGTGAATTTCAAGATGAGGAAACACTCATTTCTAGCTAGGTTCTTGTAGCTCTTGATATTTTCTTGCTAACCCATCTTTATATATCATGTACATATTTTCTGAATTGAACTAGATTTGAAAAGAATTAATTTAATTATTATTTTTAATTATTTAATTTTAATATGTTTGTGTACAGTGTAAAAGAGTTTCAACAGAACATTCTTTAAGTGTCATTTTGATAAAAGTACATGGACTTGGTTCCTCTTCCCCAAAGCGGCCATAGGTGACCTCTGAAAATGGTTCGCTACTCAACTAGACCCAGAAAACTCCACGAAATCATGCAAATCAAGAGGCTCAAATCTCCATGTTCACTTTAAGAACACTCGTGAAATTGCCTAGGCCATCAAGGGTATGCATATTCGAAAAGCCACCAAGTATCTGAAGGATGTCCCTATACAGAAGCGAGATGTGCCATTCCGCCGTTACAGTGGTGGAGTTGGTAAATGTACCCAGGCGAAACAGTGAGGCTGGACACAGGGTCATTGGACCAAAAAGAGTGCTGAATTTTTGCTGCATGTGTTTAAAAATGCAGAGAGCACTGCTGAACTTAAGCTTTATATGTAGGTTCTCTGGTCATTGAGCACATCCAGGTAAACAAAGCTCCCAAAATGCAGCATAGAACCTGCAGAGCCCAGAGGTGGATGACCCCATACGTGAGTTCTCCCTGCTACAGTGAAAGGACTCTTACTTAAAAGAGCAGATTGTTTCTAAACCAGAAGAGGAGGTTGCACAGAAGAAAAGGAAACTGAAGAAACAAAAACTTATGGCCAGGAGTAAATTCAGCATAAAATAAATCTAATAAAAGTTAAAAAAAAAGTAAATGGACTTTTTAAAAGTGTTAATTCTCTTAATTTTATCATTACTATGTAATAAAACTAGCCTATATTAAGAAGGGGATGGTTTTTAAGATAAAATCTTCAAAAAGAATACCTTCTATATCATATAATTAGAATCTTCTTCATAAAACCATCAAATAGTTTAAATTCTCTATTAAGGAAATCACTGGGTATCTTCATCTTTAGTGTTTCAATATTTCCATCTTCCATTTGGATTATCATTATAACCTTTACTCCCAGGTTGGCTAGAACCTTCTGCTTCTGCAAAAGGAACAAATCTTGAACTTTTCACTGTTCTCTTTACTTCCAGAGTAATACCATCTTATTGTTGGATACCATTGGCCGAGCCATTCGTCGTCTCATCCTCCCTTCAGAAGAAGTTACATCTAAGAAACCTTCCTGGTGGAACAAGGAAGAAGCTGTAAGGAATACCCAACTTGTCCAGCAAATTGTCAAGGATTTTCTATAGCTTTTTAACCATAAACATGAATGCCTGCCCATCCCTTTCATTGCCTTTTGTTCATTATAATGCACAAGAGAATTCTCTTACTATGCACTTGTAGATTTTAACACAATACAAACAGACATAGATAACATACCATTACATAACATTGGCTTCTTTTTGTATCCATTGTATGCACATGAAAGCTTATCAGGACTGAATTAATAATAATAGAACATTATGAGCTATTTGAGTATGATATTTATAACAAATTCCTAATCATGAACCACTTTAACTTGTTTTCCAGATATGCATTTATGTTTTGGATTTATATGATAAACCCATGAGTACAACACCTGTGGGAAACTGATATAGGGTTGAGCCTCGGACTGACCTGCTGGCAAAGTCACAAACAAGTCCCAGCTTAGAGGGCTCAGTCCTCTTAGCATAATTAGGTTTGACCTTATAACACTCCCCAGATCTTACTTGGGAAGCTAATAGGCTGAGGGAAGTGCAGGGAGTGTAAACATAATCAAAACAGGTGAAACTCACAAGAACTGTAACTATGGTAACCACTGCATTGGTTACCTCAGACTATAAAAGGTCAGTGCGGACTGAGCACGGGTGGAAGTCCTTTCTCTTGAGTTGGACTTACCTGCCTGGTCCCTCAATATTTCCAAATTATCTCTTCTCTTTTCTATTTCATTTGTGTGCGGCTCCTCTTCCAGATAGTGAACCCTGAACCACACGGGACGTGGAGGCAAACATTTACGACAAACACCTAATTACACCTATTAGATAAATAAAATTAAACTAGTAAATAAACATTTTAGGCCAACCCAAAGAATTTATTATGCCATTTAGGAAAACATCGTGGATATATAATAAGGCTTATCCTCTGCTCTGCAGGATAGCATACTTATGTCTTAAAAGTCCATGAAAAGAGATTTTTTTTAAATGTCATGAAGGTCTCCAAATCTAAGAAGAAAAGCATTTTCTATTTATTTATGTTAAATTCCACTGTTAACCCTTTGAGTGACAACCAATGTCCTAGGAACTACGCTAAAATTGCCAAGGCATTTTTGCTGATTTTACAGCAGTTTAGGAAAAAAATTATGAATCGCAAGTAAATGAAGTTACATATTCAAAAACTTAAGGAAACCTTTACTACATTGACATATTTAACAATATCATCATCACTAATAAAAGCAGACTTAGAGCTGGACGCAATTTTGAAGCTTTGATAGCGCTCCCAGCACTTTTGGCGAAAGATAGGAGGAGCATGATCGCGCTCCCCGGCACTCTAGGGGTTAATCATCCAATAGCACATGTATTTCTAACCAGTATTGGGTGTTATCTTTTAAAAATTCCAAAGATGTTTTAGTGCATAGTTCCCAGTAAATTTTGACATATATTTTAGCCCATGTTACCATAAGTCTTAACCTAGATAATGAGGTAGCTTTTCTGAAAATTACTTTTTACATGTTGAAAAATGTTATTTAAGGCAAAGCAGCTGAAGAGACATGACTGCATCTGACATATTTAATGTGAATATTCTGTTTTGTTTTGTCTTTAGGAAACGTATAAAATGTGTAAAGAATTTTCGCACAAAAACTGGCTAGTATTCTACAAAGAAAAAGGGTGAGCTCTTGGTTGTAGATTTAAACTATGGTCCTTATTTTGTCCATTATACTTCCTCTTTTAAATATATTTGTTTATTATAAAACTAATGTATCCAAATTATAAATGTTTTATTATAAAAGAAACTCATCCCACATTGTAGAACATTGAACAATAGACATAAGAAGAGACAGTGCTCATAGCTCCTTTATTCAACTACTACTAGTATGGCAGCTGGCACTTTCCATTATTGCTTCTGATGCATACCCTTGCATAGTTTATAATTTTGTGTAACTGTTTGCTTAGTTAACTCTTTTCTATGTTATTACTTAGTCTTAAAAATAATCTTTTTAAGGTTGAAATGATTTTGCCATGATTACACAACCGTTATCCTTAGCATCTCCTTTCAGATACAGTTTTCTTCTCCTTTTTCAGGAGCAACTTGACTGTGCTGGATGTGCTAGAAGGGCGAACTCATACCATCTCACTTCCCATCGACCTCAAGACAGTTTTTCTTGTAGCAGAGGACAAATGGCTTCTGGTGGAGAGCAAAACCAATCAGTGGGTGGACCTACATAGTATCTCATGCTACCGCTCCCCCTTACTTACCGATTATCCAACATCCTTACTGTTCTTTCTGTGTCTTTTAACAGTTTCTGAATTTGGCAGCACCTCTGTGGGTGAAAGTTAAAAGAAGTGAGGAGAGAAAATTACAGTAAATTAAAGGTCACTTTACAGAGTAATTACAAAAGTGTTTTTAGAAGATCACATTGAAATTAACAGTAAAAACATAACTTTTATGTATATCCATATTTCTTTGGGCTTTTTCCTGTTAGCACATTGAGAACTCACTGTGTTCTTGCCAAACTAGAGATTCTTCAAAATGGATCTTTAGTATATCCTGTCTTCAAAGGGCCGCAGTCTCCGTCATAGAGCTGTTGCTTTTTTGTGACGTCACAGAATCACCTCTTAGAAGCTTCTTCTTCATTTGGTCATGTGTGCTCTCATTTGGTCATGTTTGTGTTTGTGTTGCTTGCCCATTGCGCTGCACACTTCCTGATGAAAGGGGCATTGTGTGCTCTCGGCATAAAGAGGGTGGGTGCACGGTAAATATTGAGTGCCCTCCTTCATGCATTTACCCACTAGCTAAAGGCAGCCTTTCTCTGCAGCCCTGCTGGCAAGCTTAGGTAGTCTGCTCAAAAGATTTCTGGCTATTTCTACAACACCATCTCAGAAATCTTAAAAATAAGGAGATCAAGGAGATTACAGTAGTGAAGGCTTCTGTCCCTTAGCTGGTCACAAATCAGAGGTCAGGCTCCTACTTCCTGGCTGATCAAACAGTTGTATCAACAGCAGGCTCCATGATAATAAGAGTGCGTATCGTTGCAGTTGTTTTTTCTTTTCTTTTTTTTCTTTTACAGCCCTTCCTCTTACACAAAGTGCTAGATTTTTAGTTCACGTTTGTCACTGCATTGTGATTATCACTGCTCCTTCTACATGGTGTTGACAATCACAATGAAACTCTGGGAATTGCAAATTATGCTAAAAATATAAAAAAGAGGCTTTGGGAAGAAAAACTTGATTTTTCTAGTCTGGCTGCATGATTACTAGAAAAATAAAAACTTTTCACTTAGATGTTTTGTTTACAGGAAATACCTTTTAACTAAACCTGCACACATCGAATCTGAGGATAGTGGGGTTTGCCAGTTGTATGTATTGAAGGAGGAGCCACCCAGCACAGGGTTTGGAGTTACACCAGGTAGGCACTGTGCTTTATGTGTTTATGGCTGTATGGGTGTGTGCTCATATACACACTGTCCTCTAGAACCATTTAACAGCAATAATATCAGCATACGTTAAATTTATACCAAGAGCAAACTTAGTCACTACACTGGTAATAATTAATAAGAATCCACCATCTTTTAAGTTCTGTCTCTGAATTTTTTTAACTGACGAATCAGAATTTTTATATATATTTAGGTTCCAAGTCTATTTTAGGATAGCATTTTTCCTTTTCACTTAGACCAGTGGTTCTCAACCTTCCTAATGCCGCGACCCTTTAATACAGTTCCTCATGTTGTGGTGACCCCCAACCATAAAATTATTTTTGTTGCTACTTCAAAACTGTAATTTTGCTACTGTTATGAATCATAATGTAAATATCTGATATGCAGGATGTGTCTTCATTGTTACAAATTGAACATAATTAAAGCATAGTGATTAATCACAAAAACAATATATAATTATATATGTGTTTTCTGATGGTCTTAGGCAACCTCTGTGAAAGGGTCATTTGACCCCCCAAAGGGGTCGCGACCCACAGGTTGAGAACCACTGACTTAGACCATCAGGCTTTCTACTTAATTCATCACAGTTTTGGGGAAGTAAATTGTACTTATGAAAAAACTCTAAAACATACCATTACCAACATGGATTGGGTCAATTTCATGTCTTTTCTGCAGGGCTCTACTAATGATAATATTCATTGCTAATAAAAATTTGAATGCCATAAGTACTTGAAATTACTTTGAGAAGATGCCTTGACAGTAAAAAAACTGAGTTTTCTCAGACTAAGAGCCATGAATGTAATTCAAAGTGTTTCCTCCTTTTTAACTTGTGCTTTTCTGTTTAAGTTGGTGAGAATGAAATCTTGTAAAAATTAATTTCATGGAGCATTTTATGGGCATGTGGTATCTAATGTTTCTCTGACACTATTCAGAAACAGATTTCAGCATACCTCATAGAATTTCAAGTGAGCAGCTATCATCTGAGAATCTGAGTTCAGCTGTGGGACAAAAGATTGCCTCTCCTAACAGAATTCTCTCAGATGAGAACAGTTATGCTACAGTCGTCGTTGGTTTCCCAGATCTCATGGTAAGATCAGTTTTTTAACTTATTGAATAAATATTTCTTCTTAATTTGGCCTATAATATAAAGCCTATTTGAGGAGGTAATTAAAAATGAAATGATTTTCTGATAAACATTTCAGATCAACATCCTGTTTTCCAAATAAATCATTGAAAAATGTTTTACATAAATGGTTTTATTGCCTTTTTTAAAAATATATTTTTGTTGATTTCAGAGAGGAAGGGAGAGAGAACTAGAAACATCAATGAGAGAGAATCATTGATCGGCTGCCTCCTGCATGCCCCCTACATTTAATTTTCATAATTTCCTTTATAGCTTTGAGGTGGGATGATAGAATTATTTTTTTTTCTTTTTTTTTATTATTATTAAGGTATTACAAATGTGTCCTCATCCCCCCCCCATTAACCCCCAACCCCCCCACACACACACACACACTCATGCAGTTCTGCTTGATAGTATACCAATCTCACATACCTCAAAATTTTAATGTAATTAATGAATGAAGAGTACTTCAGGGTAAAAGACTTCTGAAATTGAAAACCCTATAGATAATATGTGGCTTAGAACTTTGCCATATGTCTTCCTAATTATCAAGTAAAAAGCATTTGCTATAGTATTATGTAACTGAAAATAAACCATGTTGAAATACAGTATCTAGAGCAGCTTTGATTGAGTGAAAGAGATGTTTAATATGCTTTTTACAATGCTTGCATTACCAGTATAGAAAATACTGGAGCTATTTTTCTGAAGGTATAACTATTTACAAATTCATATTCTGATAAAAGAAATTAGTATAGAAATATAATCCTATATAATAAAAGGCTGTATGCAAATCTACCGAACAGCAGAACAACTGGTCATTATGACATGCACTGACACTCAACACAGGAACTGCCCCCTGGTGATCAGTGCATTCCCACAGGGGGAACGCCACTCAGCCACTCACAGCTGGTGACTGCAGCAACACTAAGGATGTCCGACTGCCGGCTTAAGCCCACTTCCTATCAGTCAGACGTCCCCCGATGACTCCCAGACTATAAGAGGGCACAGGCCAATTTCATGCACTGGGCCTCTAGGGTTACTATAAAAAGGTTAGAAAGTACAAGTTGAATATAAGGCTCTGTTTTTATTAGCCCTGTAGAAATTCCTTATAGCCTGTAGAACTAGTGACCTTGTTAAATTAAAAGCTCTATCCTTGTCCTGGCAGGTGTGTTCAGTGTTTAGAGTATTGGCCCTTGGACCAAAGGGTCACAGGTTCCATTCCCAATCAAGGGCAGGTTACCTGGGTTGCAGGTTCCATCCTGGTTGGGGTACATGAGGGAGGCAACCAGCTGATGTGACTCTTTCACATTGAAGTGATCATCATTCTCTCTTTCTCTCTCTCTCTCTCTCTCTCTCTCTCACTCTCACCCTCCTCCCTCCCTTCCTCCTTTCCCTCTCTCAAAAAATCAATGGAAAAAACATCCTTGGGTAAGGATTAACAAAATAAATATATATAAAAGTTGTATTCTCCACATTTAATATGGTACCCATCACATAGATGTTCAATGAATTTTTGTTTAATGAAGGATTCATCGATTATGCAGCCTTTTAGCATTTTATACCAGTCATATGTTTTAGGCCTTAATGCAATAGTCAGGCACTTCTATAAGATTTTATAGATGAAGAAACAGAAACAGAGAGGATGTATCCCCTAGACCCGTGGTTGGCAAACTGCAGCTCCCGAGCCACATGCGGCTCTTTGGCCCCTTGAGTGTGGCTCTTCCTAAGCCTTAGGAGTACCCTAATTAAGTTAATAACAATGTACCTACCTATATAGTTTAAGTTTAAAAAATTTGGCTCTCAAAAGGAATTTCAATCGTTGTACTGTTGATATTTGGCTCTGTTGACTAATGAGTTTGCCGACCACTGTCCTAGGCTACAGCGATTATGAGTAAGTCAGCTGGGATTTGAGTTCAGGTGTGATTGACCAGAAACCATAGACTTTCTACTATAAGACAGTCCCTTTCCGCTTCTATGTGAATTTCTTTCGATTCTTCATTAAACTGTCAACAAAGGGGTATATTTCCTTTTATTAACTTTTTATAGCATTATCAGAGGCACCTAAATTATTATAAACTTATTAAAACTTTCTAAACTAATACCAAATATCTGCAAAAACCTACAGCAAATATCATCCTCAATAGTGAAACATTAAAAGCAATTCTTTCAATATCAATAGACAAGTATACCCACTGTCACCACTTTTATTAAACATCTCATATGTGATCTATTAAAAAATTGATAAATTAAATTTCATCAATGCTAAAAACTTAAGCTCTGTAAAAGACACTGTTAAGAGAGGAAAAGACAATCTACAGGCTGGGAGAAAATATTGGCAAATCACATTTCCAACAAAGGACTTGTATTAGGAATATATAAAGATTTATCAAAACTCAAGAGTAAGAAAACCAATAATCCAAAATAAAAAAAAATGGATAAACAGTGTACCAGTGTGAGGTGTCAGAGGTCAGAGCCTGAGCAAGTGAAAAGGACATCTGTGATGGGGGAGGGGGAACCACTAGTGATGGCAGTCAGTCCAGGCAGGATGAAGATGCTGGGTCCCCTTGAAGGGGCAACTTGATTTGGGAGTCAAATAAGGTGAGGAGGGCATCCAGGCATGAGCATAGCCCAGTGTGGGCTATCAGGACCTTATGATAAGTAGACTTACCATGGTGTTCACTTTGTAAGGTAAAATAGGCATTGAGTCTTTGTGTTGTATACCTGAAACTAATCCAATGTTGTATATCAACTTTAATTTAAAAAAAATACTGGTAATGTTCTATTCCTTATGCCAGATAGTGGATGTGTTAGGTGTTTATTTTTAAACTAACTATATTGTTATATTTCATCCTTTTAGTTATAATTCATTTCAAGATAAAACATAGGTTGTATAATCACACTTGTCTGAAAATTATGATTATTTGTGAAGCAGCTATCTCCTGTACCAAATTCAAAAAGTTTAAGGAATAATTTTATTTTCTTATACTTGTGAAATGTAAGTTTACTACTGGTATCTGCATAGAAGGCTGTATTACCCAAGCTGTGGGGAATGTGGTTTATAGCACTTCAGTACTTGCATCTCTTTTTGTGTGTTTTTCAGTCTCCCAGTGAAGTTTATTCTTGGAAAAGGCCATCATCTTTGCATAAATCAAGGGTCACTGATACAGCGTTCTATGGGGGGAAGAAGAAAAGTGGAACTCCAAAACAGAGCAATTGTGTGACTCTTGTGGATACTAATCAGATAATCCGGATTTTGCCCCCAGGAGAAGTCCCTCTAAAAGATATATACCCAAAAGGTAAGAAATTTACCAATTCCTAATTTAGCAAGGTAGTTCAAGGCAGTTTCCTTTTGGTAGGGATATTTAATTATCATTGACATTGTATATTTATAAGTATAAGAGTGGTTTAGTAGTTTTAAAGACCTGTATGTACTCAGAAAGTTTTCACTCAACTTCCCACACTGTGTAGTTTTAGTCTTTGCTGTTAGAACTCATCTTCGTTTGCATTACAATCTATAAAATAACTTTACTTAAAATATGTTGTCAAGGAAACCTTTAAAAACCACTAAAATATTAAACATAGATCTGACTTCTTTCTTAAACCAGAGATTTCAAATGGTGTGCCAAAGCACACAGGTGTGCTGCAAGAATTTTTAAAACATGAGATACTTGACTATTTAGTCAGATGAACTGACATCTTTTCCCCTAGATTGTCATATAAAAAATTATAGCAGCCAACACAACAATAGCTGTCTGGTGTAAATGAATCAAAATTATACCTGTTTTTTGTCAGATCGGCAAAAAATATGTTTCTTGGTGTGCCACAAATTTTAGTAATTAGTTTATGTGTGCCATGAGATGAAAAAGGTTTGAAAATTGGTGGCTTAAACTCTTGTGATGAAAGGCAAGGGACTTATGCAGATGGATTCACTTACTAGTGCTCTCAAAAATCAACTTATATTTATAACTACACTAGAGGCCCAATGCACAAAAATTCATGCACTCGGGTGGTGGGAGAGAGTCCCTCAGCCCAGCCTGCACCCTCTCAGAGTCCAGGAGCCCTCAGGGGATGTCTGACTGACAGCTTAGACATGCTCCCTGCAGTCTGACCTCCCTCTGTGGGAGGTGACCGGGCAGGCTGATCAGGGGATGGCGCCAGCCAGCAAGCGGCCAGCCCCGCCCCCCTGATCTCCCCTCCATGTCGCTAGTTGCCGCCACCTCAACCCATTGCCTTCCCCTCCCTCTGCCCGCTGGCATGTGCCTTGGCTGGCTTGGTGCCACTTGCTTGCTAACCCCACCCCCCACCAACCAGTTGTTCTGCTGTCGGGTCGATTTGTATATTATACTTTTATTATATAGGATATTTTGTTTGGGGCTGCAAATTATGTTCAGAGACTGAATTTGTCTTTGCAAGCTTAACACAGTTTCACTGTAGGAATTTCACTACCCAATAGCATACAGAATAATGCCTTTTAATAAGCCAATAAAGAAATAACATACTCCAAATCAATGATCAGTTAATCACACTATTGTTCCAGGCAAGTGGAGATGAAAGAAATAAGTCCAAATTTAGTCAAGGTGTACCTTTTCTACGAGAGACTGCTTAACCAACCTGGAGCACACTTCCAGCACCAGCACAAAACCAAAGTCCCTATTGCTATAGTGCATGGCCAGGAAGCAGTAGCACAGCATTGGACACAAGATGGTCTCCTTCTGAGGCCACTGCTAGTATGAGTTGCCTTTATGAGGACAGGAGCTGATGCCCCAAAGGTCTTCAGAGATCTATTTAGGTCAGCAAAGGGTTGCCTTGCCCAGACCAGAGAGTCTCGAATAGGTCCTCACAAACTCTTGGTATTTAGAGTGAAATGCCCTCTTGCTGTAGCTGCTTCTCCACATTTTATTTGATAAGTCCCCCTAGGAGAACGACTCAGCATCTGAGCTACTGAGTGCTTATCAATAACAACAGGTGAGATAATGACATTTGGTACAACTTTTTCATTCTTATATCTAAACAACTGTACTTCTAAAGACAATATGTGGGGGTTTTTTTGTCTTTGCCAAAAACAAGTGGATTTAAAACAACTTTGATTTGAAATCATATCAAACCAATACACAACACTGCATAGCATATGTCAGGTCCTCCGCTGATCACTTTTCTTTGTATAAATTCACTTAATCTTCAAATCCCCACTTTATTGTTAACGTAATCTCTAATTTATATGCAGGGAAACAGAGAGGTAAAATAATTTGCTGAGGATCTCCCCACCAGAGGCCGGCAGAGCCAAAGTCTGCACCAAGGTCTTCCAATCCCTAGTCCTGAGCTATTCTTAATGAAGCACACTGGCTTTAATTATCCTCCTATATAATGAAAGGGTAATATTCAAATTGACCCTAACAGCAGAACGACTGGGAATGACTGGTCACTATGACACACACTGACCACCAGGGAGCAGACGCTCAATGCAGGAGCTGCCCCCTGGTGGTCAGTGTGCTCCCACAGTGGGAGCTCTGCTCAGCCACAAGCCAGGCTGACGGCTTCCAGCCAGCAGGTGGACATCCCCCAAGGGGTCCCGACTGCGAGAGGGCACAGGTCGGACTGAGGGACCCGCCCGAGTGCACAAATTTTTGTGCACCAGGCCTCTAGAAATAGATAATTATGAAAATTTTGTTATCATTGAGCCACTGATTATTTGCATCACAAAGGCAGTAATAGGGTTTCCTGTATTTACATTTATTATATTAACGTGGACTTTGTAAATATAATTCTAAATGCATTACAGAAATCTATTACTGGGTTTGAAAAGTCCTGGTTATATGTTAATATTTAGAATTATTAGTTCCTTCCACATAAGTCATCATTTCCTTAAAATGTTTTTTATGGTAGAAGAGGCAAGTGAATAAACTGCCAATTGTAGCACATTGCTATGATAGGAACCTTCAAAAGTGGGGGGAAGCTTACAACCCAGACTGGTGATTATGATCTGACTCTTGAAGAATGAATGGGAGTAAATCAAATGAAGAAATTGTTCCAGAAAGAAGGAACCTCATGTGAAAGGTACAGGGGCATGACAAAGCATTCCAGGAACTACAAGAAATTCTGCACTAGAGTTTAGAGCACCTTCATCCACCCAAAAACCTGGGGTCAGCCCTGATACTTCTCCCTCGTTTTCCACTGCTAATCCATCATCAATTACACGTCCTTCTGATAAATCTTACAAACTTATCTGATATCCACTCTCTTGTGTACAACTCTGTTGCCAACATTTAAGTCATCACCAACACTGCACTGGAATATTGCAGTAGCCTCCTGACAAAGTTCCCTCTTCCACTCTTTCTTCCTCCTCCCATTCTCCACACATCAGAGTGATATTTTTCAAGTATACATTTTTCTCTTAGTAAGGCCCAGTTAACATACAGTAAAGTTCACACTTTTTAGTGTAATAGTGCTATGAGTTCCACAAATAATTATAGTTGCATAACTGTCACTGCAATCAATAGAGAATAGTTCTAGTTCCCCTAAAATCTTCCCTTCTTCCCTCTGAGATTCATCAGTCTGTTACATGTTTCCATGTCTGTGGTTTCTGCTCCTTTGTTGAACATCTGCCCCCTGGTGGCCAGTGTGTATCATAGCTACTGGCCTGTCAGCTGGTCGTTTAGGCTTTTACCCCATCATCGGCTCTGACCCCCGCCCAGGCCTGATGCCTCTGGCCCAGGAATCATGCCTGGGCAGGGGACCCCCATCTCCCTCTGATCGCTTGCTCCACCCCCCCCGCCCAAGCTTGATGCCCATGGCCCAGGCTTCAGGCCTGGGCAAGGGGACCATCATATCCCTCCAATCCCCGGCTCCGCCCCCCACCCAGGCCTGATGCCTCTGGCCCAGGCATCAGGCCTGGGCAGGGGACTCCCAGCCCCCTCTGATTGCTGGCTCCGCTCCCACGCCCAGGCCTTATGCCTCGGCCAGAGGAGTTGACCCTCATCACCATCTGATCGCTGATCACCGGATCGGTCCCTTGCCCAGGCCTGAGGCCTCCGGCAGAGGTGTCAGGCCTGGGCAGGGCACCCCCAGCTCCCCGCGGTTACAGGCTCCGCCCCTGCCCAGGCCTAACACCTCTGGCCAAGGCATCCGGCCTGGGCAGCGGGGACCGCCAGCTCCCCGCGGTTTCAGGCTCCGACCCTGCCCAGGCCTAAGGCCTCTGACCCTGCCTTAGGCCTGGGCAGTGGGGACTACCAGCTCCCCGCGATCTCCCACTCTGCCCCTGCCCAGGCCTAATGCCTCTGGCCGAGGCGTCCTGCCCCGGCAGCGGGGACAGGCCAC